CGCCATCTCAGACGTGTGTGTTGAAGGCGTTTTCTTCTTTTTTGTATGGCTAATCTTCTTCACTGGTTTCATGAATCAAGAATGAGCCAAGGAGATGATCGGCCACTACTTGGGTGAGTTCTCCATCACCTACAAGCCCATCAAGCACGGTCGTGCGGGTATGATGAGCAAGAACTCGCAGTTTGTGCCACTGAAGTGAGCAGAGTTCTGACCGGTGTACAGGGAGAGGATGAGGCAAAAAAGCGAGTGACGCCAACATGATATCAACATGATGGGGGAGAGGGCAGGTGGATTATCCAAGCAGGCAGCTACTGGTGTTCTTATCAGCTCTGCAAATATCAGCTCAACATAAGGACTTTTACTCTTCCAAGTGGTGCTTCAACGACAGTTCTTGTCCGTTTTGTTCTCAGACGATCGTTTTCGTTGCCAGCGAGACTTCAGCCAAGCAGTGAATGTGGCAACACAAGGATCAAGTCAGCGTAGGTTCCTGCAGACACTGGCACCATGGCGGAGGGAGAGGCCTCATCGTGTTGCTGAGACGGACAGAAGATACGAGAAGAGCTGGTTATTTGCCACTGAAAGAACCTCAAAAGACTGCAAAGCAGTGGGATATCCTCCACTTGACCCGTTGTAAGACCTTTCCCATCGACAGACCTTTTTTCGGCTATGCGGCTATCCATTCTGAGAGAGATATTTATTTTTATATACCTTGAGCGCTTCAGCGCAGGCACCCAAGAAGCGTACTTTCAAGAAGTACTCCTATCGTGGAAGCCTCAGAGGTTAGAGGTAGCGAGGAGTTCCAGATTGGACATGGTGTGTGCAATTGTAGCAACAGCACCTACAACCTGCAGAAAATTACAGATAAATATGGGTTTTAACCACTAGGACTGTATAGCACCATCCAAGTTCATTCAATATATTTCAATATGAATTTGCCAAGTGCCAAGTGCCGCCATATCGAACCTTTGCCTCAGAACAAGCGCTGAGCAGACCAACCTAGGCGGAATTGATCTTGACAAGCTGCTGGACATGAGCAACCAGGACTGTTTGATTGTGTCACTGATGATTCCGTTGGTCAAGCTGCAGTGGATAGAGCTCGGCGGCGCTCTTGAGCCATCCCAGGTAAAGGATGCTACTCATCAAGGGTATGTCGCATCATTTCGCCAATTGCTTGTGGGTCGAAACCCAGGTACCCTGGTTGACCACAAGAAATGAACAGAATAGACTACGAGTCGGAGGTCAGTCTACCAGGGTCAGCTGGGCTCCGGGTTTTTACAGCTGGAGATCCATTCACTGGGACTGATGGAACGGGACAGCGTTGTCACCGGGTGACAGCGTTGAAACAGCTGGAACCTAGCTGGATTCTGCATGCAGTCTTGTTTTCACTTTCAGATCGAAGCAAGCATTTTTCTGCAGTTCAGGTGGGTTTTTGTGTCATCGGCGACATGTCCTGGGGAATCTACCAGCGCCCCCGGCCCTGCAATCTTTTGAAACCTGGCTGGAACCTCACTTCAACGCTAGCAATTATATGCTGGACATCCCTGAACCTGAACCTCCCGGTGACCCGTTTAGGACCACTGGCTTAGACCCTCCAAGACCGACATCGAGTGGTCGGAAGGCGTTCCGACCTCCCCGTCTGCCGAGTTCGGACATTCAGCCACTCCCTGTCGTGCCCTAGTGGGTCATGGCACGAACTCCAAAGCTTTGCATTTGGACCTCGGTGGTGTATAATTCTTCATAATTCTTCTGTTCAACGTCCATTTTTATGCTCAATTCTTAAGCACAGCCGTCACAGACAATAGTCATTTGGCAGGCACACGAGTGATCTCAGAGCTGGTCATCTGCCCGGGGTACCATGACCCGGAGCCAAACCTGAGGGGTGAACCTCCATATGCAGCGAGAACCCGAAGGACCTCATGGAGCTCTTCTGCGCGCGCCAGCGCCGGAAGTTCAGCCGCGGCATCAAGCGTGCGTTTGGAGAGCTCAGCTGGGCGGGCGATGGAGAGAGCTCAGCCGGGAGGGTCGAATTCATCCGATTTTCGCCGATCAAGATGGGGAAATACTGAAGGGTACGTGGAGTGACCACTGATGCGATGGGTGGATGCTGATGAAGATAGCTGAACTTCTTCACGAAACATGTTGATCATGAGAGGAATCCAACGTCGTTGTGTCCAGGCCTATCACAGTCCTGAAGAAGCTTCGGAAGGTGGGTTGCCTCAGACACACATCGACTGAAGAACACACTGAAGAACATCGACTGATGGTAGAGGCCAGGCATTCCTGATATGACCAACCGTGAAACACCTGAAACGGCCTTCGGACACCTGCCCAGCTGACAGCCGTGGGGCAAGACCTTCGCTCCACGTTTCTTCGTGTTCGCCGTGTTTCGCGGGATGGGACCGAGGCAAAGAGGGATACGGCCTACGGTGAGAAGCCAGAGGCGGTGAAGACCCACTTGAGGAACATGGTCATTGTGCTCCTTGGTGAAGAGCAGAGCAGAGTTGGATCGTGTGAAGCTTTTCAGTAACTGATACTCAGTGACGAGCCAGAAGAGATTTGGAGCCAGCAAAGGTCCTACTAGGGACCCTGGCCTGAACATGTCCATACATTTCCTATTGTATTTCAAATGAGACTATATACTGTTTTGTCCACATGAAACCGCTTTGGATTAAGTTTTCCCATGTTTTTGGAACATCTGGGGTCCAACTGTGTTTCTTTCCAAGAGCACAGCTCATTCGCGTTTCATGAGGCCAGAGATGATTGGCCACTGGGCATTCAGAGTTATCAAACTTTAAGCTTTACGGATCCACGCAGGAGTGTGAAATCGCTTTCTAATCGCTTTCTAATTGCTTTCCTTTTCAGGCAGCGTGGTGGGTGTGTACAACGGCAAGCAGTACATCACGGTG